TAATATAAATTTATGACAAAATATATATATATATATATACTTATTACAACTTTAACATGTACCCTAAGAGTTGAAGTTAAAAAATTCTTTTCATAATAATTACTGAAAAAATAAAAAATATGTTAAAAGATTCTTTATTAATTAGGTGGTTTAATTAAATATAAAAAGCAATTTATATAGATTATTGAAATAAAATGTATAATTAATTAAAATAAAAAAGTTGTCATTATTTTATTAAAAAAACCTAAGTATATGTATATTATATAATATTAATTAATTAATTTTAAAAAAATTAATTAATTAAAAAATATATTATTACTAAAAACAAATGAGGTAAAGAGAAAAAACATGTAAAGGCGTACAAGTGGAATGCCACGCAAGCCACGACAAATAGCATCACGAAGTCAATTAGTGGAGGGGCTGATTTGCACTCAACATGAGGTTGGAGGGGTTATTCGCCACCTTTTTAGTTCAGGGGCTTACTACTTGCTCTTGAAAAAGTTGAGGGGCTTAAGAAGGTTTTCGTCCTTGAAATCACATCCCCTCAACCTCTCAAAATTGCACACGTTATATATATCAGCGCTTTATTGGTTGAATAAAGAAATGCATTCAAGAAAAAATCATACTCTAATTTAAAACAATAAAAATTAAAACTTTTCTAAAAAAAACTAACTAATATCATAAAATATATATTGTTATATATATTAGATATTTTTAATAATATATATTATTTACATTATATAATATTCTATAATATATTATAATTATGCATCACTTTTAAGGATATACATGTAGATATGATTTTTAATGTATGAAACATGAAATAATGTCAAGAACAAGGAAGAAAGAGACAGAAAAAAAAAAATGAAATGAGATGGAAAAGGAGTGGTTGAAAAAAGTTTAAAAACAACTTCAATAGTTATATGAAAATATCTTTAAATTCAACTTTGAATTTGAAATGGAAAAATTGTCTCCTAAATGCTGCAAACATATTTAAAATGTTGTTTGGGATAAACACCATTTATAAAACAGTTACACTCCTTTAAAGAGTTGTATCTATTTTATATTAATGTAAAAAGTACTCATTGGAGTTTTGTACTTAAATAAAACAACCCCATGAACATAATAACCTTTTTTTGAAACTTTTAATTTTTTTTTTTAGTTGTCTTTCTTGAATTTTTGCACCTTACTTTCAAATTTTAGTATACTAGTTGGGTTATTGAACTTCATTAAGTGGGTATTATATCTTGAAAATAACATTTGTTACATAAAGGTGAAAGTTATTATCTTTAATAAAAATTCTTAAAATTACTTTATCTATAACAATTACATTTATAATTCTCTGCATATAATGTATTTAATACTCGACTTGTTAATATATTAAAAAAATTTTGCTCCCTCACTCAATTTTCTTATTCCACCCCTGCATAGCTGAAAGAAATAAGCAGTCCCATGGGATTCGAGGCATCCCACTCCGAGCTCCAGGAGAAGATGATCTTTTAATCTAGGGCACGTCTGGAGTGCATGGGGTAAAGAAAGGAGGGGTACAAAAGCAAAATCCAATCTTATCCCACCTAATCCCATGGGAAGGTGAGATAACTTTCGTTGAAGGAGGTAAAGATTGAATAAAACGTGGGATATATTGTATCCCATCCTTTCATCCTACCAAACAAGGGATACATTGGGATTAGACATAAATTTTGCCCTATCCCATGCTGGATCGTGATTCTCTACTCTGACACGACATGTCATGGATGCCAATTCTGACATTGCTCTATTCATCCTACCAATTCTGGCATTACTCTGTTCATCTTACCGATTCCGATGTTACTTTGCTCATCCTACCAACATCGATCTCTTCCATTCAAGTCTCCGATCATCTATTTCTTCATCTTCCGCCATGAATCTCGATTCTTCCCTTATTATCCCTTTCATCAACTTCCATCACTGATCTCTCCCATTTTCATTAGTCCCAAATCTTGTCCATTTTCTTTAGTCTCAGATCATCCCATTTCTTTTCCTCCTAAAATCAAAAGGCCCAAATGTATCCCCTCATCTATCTCACTTGACAAACACTCCAATCTTGATTTCTTTATCAATTGTTGCCTCTTATGCCCTATCCTTGTACATTTTGGTATGTCTCCAATATTTGCTTTCTCTTTTTCTTCTACTGGGAATAGCTTTTGCTTCTCAAACAAAAATTGGTGTTAATATACCATTTGAAGTTGGGAAAGGAATTCTAGTTTTCTCAGGAAAAGAAGAATAGGGAAACTGCTAGAGAGGAAAAGAAAATGGAGGAAAATTGAGAGACAGGTGTAATGGTCAACATTCTGTACAAATGGAGCTGTTTGGGGCTCGAGAAAATGACAAGGAAAATGTTGGAAACGGAGAGAAAAACGCAAGCAAAGTTTAAAACAATTTATTAGTACGCTCTTCAAAGACATAAAAAGTAGTGTTCCCTTTTTTTAAATAATAAACTGAATTTAATATATAAGAAATTGAATTGTAATATTAGGGGCATTTTTGTCAATACAATAAATATTTTTATCCAATTTTATTTTCATCTAATAATCAACCGAACTATAATTGGATTCCAATATATCCATCCTATCAAGTTCAATCAAATTTTATCATATCCTTTGAATCATCTCACATCCAATCTATTCCTGCATTTCAAACGTGCGCCTAAGAAATAAGTTCCATGCCGCGAACCGAGCCTTAAGTTTAATGGTTCGTCCCAAATTTTAAGGTTTGGGTAAAGCGGTGGTTAGGGTTTCGAGTTTTATTATTATCGTAAACTCTATCAAAAAATGATTTAATGGTCACGCACCTCATTTAAGAGGATGAAATGTTTATCGATTTGAAAATCCCAATTACTAACAATTAACTCATACTAATTTTCTAACCATTACCCTTATCAAAAAAAAAAATCCAAACTAAAAGGGTCTTCATGATGGGACTGACAATATATAGCAAAACCATGCTAAGGTTTAGGATTAAGGCTAAATTTTCTATAAGAACAGTTGTAATATCTTTTCTCCTTTCTCAAAATTCCCTTTATTCAAAAAAATTTTCAATTTAGTTTATTTTCACAAATTACTCTGTTTCAAGAGAGGTTTTTGCCTTTATATATAGTTTGTTTGTTTCAATTTATGAAGTATTTTTTTATTAGTTTCTATTTCCTATTTTATTTTTTTATCATCAAAAATGTATTTTTAAATTCACCTACATGAAAAAATTATATAAACACTTGTAAAATTATTTAAATATTTTTAATACATTATTTATATGTATTTATTCATTATGATATTTAAACCTTTTCAGGATATTCTTTTACTTTTTTCTTTATGTTCTGTCATTGTTAGATCCTTGTTTTTTACATTTTTTTAAATAAATTTTTACATGGTTCTTAAAATATTTTTTATTTACAATTTATTGGCATCTTAATATAGAAATCACGATTTCCACGTTCTGTCTCATGTGGAGGATCACCTGGGTTAATGGAAATCACCCCGTGACATGAAGTTCGAATCTAGGGTTCATACTCCCCTTCCCCATGTATATAAACAGGTACTAATGCCTGACGTAATAATTGTTTATTGTTAAAAAAATAAAAAAATAGAAAACAACAAATATATAGACGTCATAGATATTAAGGCAATCATTTTGCTTGAAAGGCAAAGAAAAGATTAATTTATGATTTTTTTTTATATTAATATCTTAGTATCAAATAATCACATTAAATTTTAATTAATTTAAAATCAAATTAGATCGAATCCTATTAAAAAAAAATTTTCTCAATATCTATTTTTCATTTATATAAATTTAAATTTAAAATTTTATTTAAAAATAATCAAACTCCTTTCACAGCTCAAATCTAACCACATCGGCGATGTACGTTGGCTTCAGATATTATAATCATATATGTATCAACAGCTTTAATTGTGTTAGATAAGGTGCAACGTATTAAATTTAAGATTTTAATTTTATCTTTTATAAA